CCAGTGATACCGAACCGAATAGCAAGCCTATTATTAAATTATTATTATTATTAAATTTAAATTTATACCGCGCAGTTTCTATAAAAATATTCAACTGCGCCTTACAATAAATATTAATTTAAAAATAAAATAAAGTTCAAAATTACAATTCTAAAATTCCATAAATATTAAGTAAAATAGTGTGGTCTACCGTGTCGAACGCAGCGGACAAATCTAAAAGTAGTAAAATGACTGACTGATGATTATCTAAAGCTATGAAAATATCATTTTGGACTCTGAGAAGAGCCGTCTCAGCACTATGCAGTTGTTTGTAAGCAGATTGGAAAACTTCATCAAGGTTATTTATCGTGATATAATCAATCAGCTGCAGAGCGATAGCTCTCAGTAAGCTTTGACATAAACATTAAATTAGAGATTGGTCTAAAATTAGCAAGAACTTCAAAATCTAGACCCGTTTTTTTTTTCTATCAGCTTACTTGATGTGCAAGACTGCGTCTGGAAGTTTTACTGACATGACGTAACGCCGCGTGGCGTCCACAGCATTATAGATGAAAATTCTGAGGAAAAAAAAAAAAAAAAACGCGTTAGAGTTCTAAAACTATTCCAGGTTAGAAAAGTTAATAAAATTTGCGATTTTATTTTTAATTTGTAAAAGAATTTTTAAAATTCTTTGTTTTATTTGATGTCAAACTTACCGACCGGGGATTAAGAGGACTGTCACTCTCCTTCAGGGGGTTGCTAGTCTATCACAGAGCATGCGTCGATCAATTCCAAGCCTCAACATCCCTCCCAGGCAACACCTCGGGCATTTAAATTTTGAAGATTGGTTTGTTCAAAATCACCCTCCCTCCCCTCCCCTCCCCTCCTCCTCCTCCTCTCTTGTATTCAAGCGCCCCATCCAGATTTTTGTATAAGGCAAAATCAGTGAGGGTGACTTTCTACACATAGACCAAGCGTTGGAACCTACACCTTGTAAACCTTTCCTTCTGAACCATTCGCTAGCGAAAGTGAATTATTTACGTAAACATCTCCAAGTTTAGAGATAACACATATTCCTACAAAGAATTGACACCCAAGTTCAAATTCCCTATCCGCCAGGCATGGACGGCGGTCAAAGGCCCGTGGGTTGCCCGGGGGAGTATTAAAGCATCAAATTGATCGGCGCATTACCTTCTCATACAACGGCGTAATCCGCCTACCCAGGGGAACATAGAAAAAATGCAATCTTCGCAAAGGAATGTCAAATGAGCAGGGATCTCAAAACAATGAGCGATCTCTGGCTGATATGAAGATACCCTCGACCGTACCTTCCTCCCTGCGTTCCCAACCAGACCGTGGGAAAAGGAAAACCAAACCGACCGCTGATTCTTCCTTTGAATTTCTTCTCCTCACCGCAGGTCCTTTCCATATACGCACCACACAAGATGTTGGACTCGCACACGTGAAACGACTCTACCACCTGTGGCGGGGAGGCAAGGGAAACTTTGACTACAGTCACGTGACCAGCATTATCTCCACTTCCGCAAAGGAGCCAAAGAATGTTGTAGTTGTCATGGGCGCCGGGAAGAGGATCCGAAATATCAGGACAACTCACGATACACTGAATCTGTAAAAGAAAAAAAATTGAAGAGTTGAACCTCTGTCACAGACAAAGAGCAGTCCCTCCTTGTAAGAAAAAAAATTAAGTGAAAACAAAAACTGATGTTAGCGCGCCACGTGGAACTTTAAGAGTGAGATACACGAAACGCTCTAACATAAATTTTTGTTTTCACCTATTTGTTTTTACTTGCGCAACGGACTTCACCGGAAAAAGAAGAGTCCATTGGAAGTCTACCTCCGTTACGGCAATACCTTCCACATCAAGTATCCTCTGATAATATGAATATAAGGTTATAAACATTTAGACATGTTCCTGAAAATTTCTCTAGAGAATAAACCTGGGCTCGAAAAAACCCCCGACCGGTCGTCTGGGACAAGTAGATTTCCCTTCGGACAAGTAACTTTCTCTCCTTCCTTGCCCGACTGGCAAGGACCCAGCGGGCAAGCCGTTCGCCGACTAAATTTTTGATAACGATTTTGAGAAGAAAAGGTAAACTTTAGGCCCAAGGGTAATCAAGTGTTTAGATGAAGCTTGACGAAAATTACAATTTATAGCGTTGTTTTGTTGATTGCGTGACGCGCGCTCACGGCTCAGAAGTGGTTGCCTAGCACGTGATCAAAATCTTCCCCNTGACTGACTAACTGGCTGATTGACAAAATGACTGTCTGACTGGCTGATTGACAAAATGACTGACTAACTGGCTGATTGACAAAATGACTGTCTGACTGGCTGATTGACAAAATGACTGTCTGACTGGCTGATTGACAAAATGACTGACTAACTGGCTGATTGACAAAATGACTGTCTGACTGGCTGATTGACAAAATGACTGACTAACTGGCTGATTGACAAAATGACTGTCTGACTGGCTGACTGGCTGGCTGACTGATTGACTGGCTGACTGACCAACAGACATGAATAAAGACGGTAAGTTTTTCACCCAGTTATCGCTTAGTAATTCACAACTTACATCACAAGCGAATTCAGACTGAAATAATTTAACACCGTTTGGTATTACTCTTACTTGGATGGTAATGACAGCTCGAGCCAATAAAGATTGGCCAGTCTTGTTTCTTCCTCGATTGTCCTCTGCACCGCCTTGTGCCATTGCTGAACCTTTTCTATATCAAGAACCTGAAAAAACGTTTACCGACAGCAGTTACGTTTTTAACAGCAAACTGCGTTCTACTTGACTTATAACCCCATGTGTCGGAATTATTTCAAGCCTTTACCTCAATTTTTCCGATCTATTGATTTTTGTCAAGTCACACGGTCTGAACAGAATACGTCTCATCCAAGAGCACGAATACAAATCTAACCTGGTATGACCGCCGTAGCGTGGACACGAGGCCAGCGATTTGACCAATGATAGCTAAGTCCTGCTGTAGGTCTTCAAAGTGTTCCCGGCAACCACTGTAAGCACTCCGATACTGACCTGTTTGAGAAAATTTTTCTTTTTCTCATTCAAAAACAAATAGATTCGATTTTGCCGATGATGTGTACGGCAAAAGACCACAGAAGACCTCAAAATGTGGTAAGGACATCAGTAACACATTCAGCTGCGCTGTTTGTGCCTCAATACACTCATCTGAAACCACGCTATAACTAAATGACTGTGAATACATGAAAATATGAAAGTCGGATTTCCGCAGTAATGTACACTACTCGAGCAGCTTTATTTTCCCTACTGCTTCAGTAGTGTTCATTACTCTATGACTTTCGGTCAGAATCCATTGTATCTACCTTCAGCAGAGTGCTTTATCGTTGTTCTGTAGGAATTGGTCAGTATGTTAACCCCTGGACCATATTCTATGATATCCACATCGCTCAATGGAACATTCCACTTAAGTTTGTACTTGGCTTTTGGGTCAATAACCATGTGCATGGCACGGTCTTTCTTCCTAAAAAGGAAACGACGTCATAAATAACAAGGTACCTAGGACATCCGTTATCAAAATTCCCCGAGGATTCCAAAGTAAAAACGAAAAATCCCCCGACCCAACAAATACATTATAAAACGCACCGGATCAGCATTCGGCTTCCTTTACAAGCGGTATTTCTTCTCATTACCCTTTTGACTTAACGAGTGATCAGCATCTAATTTCTCCTAGGAATATCTGCCTTTAATCAAACAGTACGATTACGAGTAAAACAAAAATGATCAGCAAGGTAAAAGAAGCTCTTAATTGTTGAAAAAATCTCCTTGTCGGCACCTAAGAAATGTAAAGAGAACAGTATGGAGAATATGCATGTTGACATTAGGGTGTAAAGTGTTGATATGTTGGCCAAAAGTCAGCTCAAACTAGCCTTTGGATCGAGGCCCAAATGAATGAGAAAACGAGAAATGCATGTGTTACGTTGTCGCAAATCAAATTTTCCTGAGTCAAGGTAAAATTTACTGATTTTTTTTCGTAAACCATTACAAAATAACGAAGCAATCAGTAAAACAAATAAAAAAAACTTGATTTGAAAAAAAGTTGAGGAAAAAAAAGCTAATCAATCTATTCATCATTAATTTTCATTGTTGATTTAATTAACAACCAGCGCTAGCTAGTCACTAAAATGTTATGTGTATTAAAATCATATATTCTCAGAAAGAAAATGAATGGCTTCAATTCTACTCGACAATCTGTTACCCTTTAATGAGAGAAACACAAAGCAGCATGTCTGACAACATGATAATGCGTCGTTTCTTTGTTCCAAGGATTGATTCACCTTCAACAGTCTGAGAGGATAAAACAATACAAAGACTGAAGACAAAACAAGGAGCACACTGTAGAGCTTTATCATCCCTAATTCTTCGAAAACTACCCAACGTGTAGAAGAGAAAAAGAGGGGAGTTGAGGGGAGAGAAAGAAGAACTGACGTTCCTCTCGATCACCTACAACCACTAATTCCAAAGGAAAAAAAAAAAGATGTACAAGGAGATGCAGTCAGTCTGCACTACTGAGACAGGTGGTTTGAACACGACAAAGCGTGGCGCGACCGGGCTGCACGAGGTCGGTCGTTTTTATGGATCTGCTGCTTTCATTTTCATCTAGTGCCCTAAAAACCGCTTGCTGCAAATATCACCATTACACAAACGTTGCTAATGTTGAACCAGATATAATGGGACTTCATATCTGGTGTGGAGGATCACTGCCAAATGAGAGTGGATATTTTAATCCCCTTTCGTCACTACATCCAAACCTATCTGTTACATGCAGCTACTCTTCGCATCGTTGTAAGTGGTCAGCAGTATCTCTTCCATTTGTTCCGTTTGCCAGTGAGAAAATTTCGTCAAAGTGCTTTAAACCTTTTTCCAGTAGCTTATAATCATAGATTTACTCACACATTGTACAAAGTCATCCTGCCTTATAAAGTACCTATTTCCAGAAGCCAGAGGCTAAAGGGTAAAGAAACAGAATAAATGTCAGTTGTTGCAAAAACAGCGTGCAACTGTCACACTGTCTTTGACGAGTGGTGGTCTTTATAAAGAAATTCCTTATCTTGAGTAATTTCCATAAGCTATCCTTGTATCTTTTTGGTTTACCAGGAAATCATTCATGCTAAATTCACCATGATTACATAATTTTGATGTTTGAGCTCCAATTCAACTGACAATTCCATAATTGGACTTTTAAGTTCCTACCTATTCCAGAATTTCCAAAGTATTACAATGGGATCTCATATTCAACTCATATATAATCAAAATACCATAACATGTAATTTTTTTTCTTTTTTTTTTTATGGAACGGTTGAGTGAAACAACTTTTTTTGGAGAACCCAGCCTAATCCTGGGAGAGCAAGATGCCAAGGATCAGTACAATTCTGATTACTCAAACTCTTGGCTTAGGAAAATCCCAGTAATATGAGATAAATTTTCTTCTTTTCTCTCACTCAAGTATTGCAAATTTACCCCTGAACCTTTGAATGAATGTATGCATGTAGGTGCGTAAACTTAATTAGCCACTCTCTATACGGGACTTTTCAGGCCACTATGAACAAATTAAAAACAAATATATTGTGAATAAACAGTGTTTTAAAGATCTCAACTAGCTAGAGGCAAACCATTTGGCTATACATACATGTACAGAGAACAGCCAAGGAGTAGAACTCAGGGTAACCAAGAACAAACCCAGAGAGTAGCAGGGTGGAGGGCTCAAACCTGACACCACCAGATCACAAGCTGAGCATCCTAACCACTCAGCCACTACAATTCAAAACACAGTGCCTCCCTTGATTAATTCAAACCAATTTCCCCTCCCCAAGTGGTTCCAAACATCTGGTTATTGCTCTGGTGTTCTGTTCCAACTGACCTTGTGACTCTGTGCCACCAAACCATCCAACAGCTTCACTTTGTTTCTCAGCTCAGCTTCTCTCTTTCTCTCACTGAGATTTTCTGCCAGGCACTCTAACTGAGTCAGAGCAAGTTGGAGTGGGACACGATCTGGATGATCCCTGGGAGTCACAACCAGTAGTTCCTATGAATATAGTACAAATAATTTGAGTACAGACTATTTTGAAATGAGCCAGAGTCTTTAAGATTGAAAAAAAGAGTGGGGGCATTGGGGCTTAATTGTTAGCACTCTGATTGATTTTGTTCCAAAGAAGATCACTGCTATTTCAGAATGAAAAATTAAAATTTGTTTTGATATCTGTCTCAGAATTGTTGCAAGGAGTCTAATCTCGTTAAAGGCAAAACAGAAAAAACCAAAAGAGAAGAAATTTGGAAAACAATCTACAAAGCTATGAAAATGTATATAACCAAGGGTTAGATTAACTGTGTTGAAACAAACCAGACCTGGCTCCAGATTGAGAGGCCTGATTTTAATCCAAGCAAACGTCTTTGCATTGTGTTATTTGGAAAGAAACTTTACTGCCGTACACATATTTCATAAAATTTCCGGCAGTGTGAATAGTTCAGTACTAAATGAAACAAAATCCCTTATTCCTCACTATTCTTTCTGCTTATCACTTTCCTCTTTAAAAATGAATTGAATTGTAAAGAAAAAGTCTTCCTTGGCCACTCAAGCGAGTGAGAGGGAGAAATGGGTATCACTAAATCTACAGACAAGCAGAACATTTGGGGGAAACTGGAACTTCTTAGCGCTCTATCCAGGGGGGAAGTCACGAAAATCTTGCCTGTAACAATGCAATTTGTGCATATTTTGAAACTGGAATAATCAAGGGCCAATTTTTTTAAAATTCTATTTACAGTGAGCACTATAATCTTGGATTAAAAAGCTAAACAAGCTACAGTTTTTGTATCTACTGGGAAAATGTTACAGAAGTGACATTTGAGGGGTTTTACTTTCCCCAGTGTAAGGCAAACCTGAAAATAAAAAATATAGAAGCCATACAATAAAATAAAAAATTCTCATCAACCCTGATGTAGACAAATTGTTCTTTGAACAATGTACCCCTGAAGGCTCACCCCTACAGCTGGAACATTATATGTTTGTTGTTTCTTGCATTTAAACACTGACAGAGTTTTAAGAAGTTTAACTTGACATGAAATTAACAACAAGGTTCAGCAGTTCATAACTAACCTGAAGAAGGGCCAAAATTTGTGGAAATCTATGAATTGGTTTCAACATCAAATAATGAAGGGAGTGGCGGTCAAGGCTTGACTGTCTGCGTGACTGAAACATAAAAAGGGATCAGTTCTTTTGATAGGTTAAAAACGAAAAAAATATATTGAACAGTAGTCTTCAAACAAGGCTAACCCATCTCCTGTACACTTTTTCACTGAGTAATACCAGTGTTAAAACACTAAATGGTTTTAACCAGGAGTAACTGTTGACCATGTACCCTGCAGTGGAATCACAAGGCTGAGGGTACACATATACAAATAGTTCTGCAAAGGAATCTTCCCTTTTAAATTGACTGACATCACATCTCTCTCTGTCTCCAACAACAGCCTATTTTATAACATTTGACAAATTCAACCATTTATTTCAACATAGAAAAATTCATACAGCTGTATGTCTTATCCCATTATTGCAGCCTGAGTTCTTGATACAAATATGTGTAGAATAAAGGTTAATGATCTATTTGCTTTATATTTTTTTTCAAAACTGCGAACCTTTAAAAACTGTGCAAATGCCAGATGAGTTCTACAAGCTACTTTCACTGTATCCATAGCTTTAGCAAAGTTGTTCACATATCCACTGTAAGCATCTAGGACCATGGATTTGCAAAACTGTTAAAAATTCAAAACCAACTGAGGTCAGTATTATTTAAAAATAAAAACATATATGGCAGTATTTTTTAACCCTATCTTTATAGACTTCTTCCCTTTGACTTCACTACTCCCTTCTGCATTCTACACATTTCAAGGTAAATGTATAAAGAGATTTTATTACACGACTCGGGTAGTCAGAGTGCCAATAACTAAAATCAACCAATCAAAATTCTCCATTGCTGGTCCAATATTCTCTAAGTATTGGACCAGGCACTGTCCCAAATGGTCCCGAATGATACCACACTTCTGTCCCTTTGAACTTCAGTTGTATAATAAATCTCTTATTAACCAAGCTTGCTTGGGATTGCAATGGAAGAATATCGGTCCTCGGACTTTTTTGTACGGACTTCGCTGCGCTCAGTCCGTACTGTCAAGACCTCGGGCTGATATTCTCTCAGTAACGCCCTTGCACTTGGTTAATAAGATATATATATCAAGACATGATTGTCTTCTCCTAGACTATTTGCTTGACTATTAAATGAAATCACTTTCAGACAATCTGTGGAATCTCTAGGGGCAGGAAGACTTAATTCTATTCATTTGGCTATCAGCTATAAAAATAACAATTTATTAGTGAGTTGATAATACTTGTCTCAATTAAATCTGAGATGATGATTAGTAATATCAGACGATATTAATAACCAAAAAAATAGATAAGGGGAATTCAATCTCACCAGAGCATACAGGATGTCACCAACATTCATATCTGGTGTCCAGTCTGACATCCTCGCACTCAGTGCAATATTAAACATGGCATGACACTGCAATACTCTGTGTACATGCTGGAAGATCACATCAATCTTGCTTGGCTCAAGAAGATCACGCTCCCTGATCGGTAACTCATATTGCTGTCAAAGACAAAAATTTGCCAAGGTGTTTGTTTAAGCCGTTCAGTCTAATTTATGCTATTCTTGTACCTTTCCTTATTTGCATGTTTTTAAACTAGTCTCTTGATAATGGAGTCACGATGACCCCGAAACGTCGAGTAATAAATCTTTCCTGGTTTTTTCAAAGACAAAAATATGTAAATAAATCAAACAATTTTTTTCCAATAGGATTTAAGTCAGATCTCTTTCAGAGTGAATGCTTATCAAATAGAAGAGCGTTGGTAGCAAAAACTTCTGTTATATAAGACACTGAATTACATGGTTTGCCTGCCCATTTGAATTGGTTCTTAGCAATGATCTATTAAAAGGACAGATGCATACATTAACAGCATTCTGCTTCTTTGTTATCAAAAGAAGCATAGTATGCCATTCTCTTGTTTGCCCCACATTTTAGCATCATATGGGATCTATTTAACAAATGGTAAACACCACAGCGTACACTATTGAGTTATGGATGCACGCGGGAGGTTGCTAAGCACGAAAGAAGTGTAAGAGTCGTTCGAGGCCATAGCCGAGAGTGACTCTAGCTTCTTGAGTGCTTAGCAAACCTCCTAAGTGCATCCATAACTCAATAGTGTACGCTGTGGTGTTTTACCATTTGTTTTATAACATAACATTGATGCATTGTAGCTAAAGAGTTCCCTTTTATTTAACAAATCTTACGCGACCGTAAAAAAATCTTACGCGCACGTAAAAATAGTATTTGCATTTGCTCACGTTAGCAGCGTACACCCATGGGCAAATGGGGGACGCTAAATTGACCAATCAGAGCGCGCGCTTTACTTTGGTTATGTTATAATTGCTGATCAGACCAACTGCAACATGGAATCTATTTGTTAATTATACCGCACCCATCCACACACTCAAGACCCTTTACCCGAACAAAAAGAGAGGGAGATAGAAAAGACTTTGAAAAGGAAAAGAAACTTTTTTCTTTTATTGTGGCACAATAACAAACATTACACTACTACGTTAAAAAAAAGGAAGAAAAAATTACATCAATGAGAAAATAGAAGTGTATTGACAACACAAAATAAGTATGGAGATTAATAAAACAAAAAAGGGGTGCAGTTCCAATGCCTTAAATTATTCATAACTGTAGTGTTTAGATACTATTTCATTAAACAATACTTATTTTCTGTGAGCTAAATGTATATGTGATGAAATGATAGAATCAGAACATTTATTAAAAAATAGTGTAGAGGAACATACTTATAATCAAAGAATTTTAAAGTGAAATAAACATTCTGATGGTAAGCTGGGAAAGAAATTTAAGAGATAAGATATTTATCGCCTGCTCAGGACTCTACCCTTAGTTATCTATCACACATAATAGAGCACAGTTTCCTTCAAAGAGCTCAGCCAATAATAAGAACTTCATGCAGTGAATAAGCAATCTCCAGTATCATGTGGAATATTGGTACTAAATAATGTTCTAGCACTTCAAATAGCTTTGTATTTACACTCTTACCTTGCTAAGTTGATCCAAAAGTCTCATATAGTCTGCTTCGCTCTCCAGCATAAACTTCACAATCTGGTATCTTTTGATCTGGGGAGCAAAATGAAAACTACTGAACATATCTCACATATAGGAGGGTAGCAGAGGCTATAAACGTGACACTAAATTGATCAAACTCAAAATTAATGCACAAGGTGAGGTTTTAAGTTTTCCATTTACTTCATGATAATGTGAAATGCCATTTTAACTGAAAGTACACATGAAATGTGAACTTTTCAAAAATTTGTGTGTGAAACTGGATCAGGACCCCTTCCCTTGCTACCCTCATCTACTAGGAATTGACAATGCAACTGCTGGTCTTAGGCATGAAAAACATTTTTTTTTTTGGCATGTTGATAGGGGTATGATGAAGAAGTTTCATTTGGAAAGGTGCAATAAATCCAAATTTACTTTCAGATTTATTTTCAGTGCTGACAAATCCATCAAACACCCACTGTGCTGTACATTCATTGTATGAATCAATAGAAACTCGATTTTTCTCTTATATTAAGAATCAATAGAAGAACGTAAAAACGCATTGGATACCTGCTCATTGGATAAACCATCTGGCATAGGTGGCATAACAGGTTGCTGATAGTTAACAGAGTCTGTGATATCTGGGTCAACATAAACTGCATTTGATTCTTCATTTTCTACTGAAGTAAAAGAAAAATTAATCATAACCTCATGCCACGGATACTGTTAGTAGTGAATATAGTTCAATTTACAGCAATGCTGAATAAAAACAAATGTTCTTGCACTCTCTTTATGATAGTTCTGGAAAAAACATTAAAGGTCAATTGTTCCTTAGTTTCAATCAAAGGATTTCAAACGATTTTATTTGGTTCTGGTTTAGAAAACTGTTACAATAATAATGATTGACACACATATCATACCTTTTTTGGAGTCACTAGCCAAGTATGGTGTGCTTGGCACCCTATTCAGTCCAAGGCAACCCTTAAATTGGGCCTTCAGTCCTGGACTACTCAGTGATGACTTCTTCCCAGTGGAAAATGGCGAGAAGTTTGCAATTTCAGATACAAACTGGAACTGAGTATGGAGAACAAAATTAATTAGGATTCTCAAAATACACGTGGGATCTACAGTCTGACGTACAAATGAAATTTCAACTGTCTTTTGACTAACTTTATGCAGTTTCTTCACACAAGGGACCTTCAGGAAGGCATCATTATGAAATGACATAAAATCGTACATGAAATCAACACTGTTTACCAACTAGAAAATCTTTGAGAATGGGGATGGCATAAGAACATTCTCCATGTGTTTATTAAGGATTTCACCCTTTTCTTTGCTCAATCTACTAAGATGTTGGACTGATTGGCTGGGTGAAAATAATTATTGGTAAATTAATTGTAAAAGAGATTAAGAGTCAGGTGTCACTGAGTTCATTCTGAAATCAATGTTTTCTTTGAAGTAAATGCTGTGATTGCTTCTTGAGTTTATTGCAGAGGGGCTCTAACATTGTTTTATGGAAACCCAAACAAGTAATACCTAGGTCATTAAATTACAAATGTATCTATTAGTCAGACAAAAATCATACATGTGTAAAATTTGAAAAGAGGACTTTTCTTTAAAACTTTAGTGAGAGTTACAAATAAAAGAGTTACCGGTCTCTTCCGTTCCCTCATAGGACTTATTTCCACTGTATCATAGGGATCCTCTTCTTCTTCCTCATCAATAAGACCATCTTGCGTTCTAATACTTCCTGCATATGTTATGTCATCTTCAGTCTCAAAGTCTGAACCCCATGGCTCACTTTCTGAGTAATCATCACTTTCATCATCATTTGAAGGCATGACATATGCCTCTGTGGTTCAAAAAGAGAGATGATACTGTAGAGAGTTTGAACTAAATAAATATTTACAGTAAAAGCACAAGCCAGTTGACTATTTAACAGTGTGATAATTTGGTTTCAATTTACACTAAAACAGTATTAAAGGCACTCTCTGATTGGCTACTTAAACTCTGAATATCCTTTCCTGTCCACTTCAGAGTGATGCAAGCAGGGTTTGCCACCAAAATATAATTCTAATCATTGCCAAAATAAACGAGTTAAAATGATCTTTTTATGCTACTTTATCTTGCTGCTTTAATATATATTAAATCAACTATTAACTTCAGTGTCATTGGCTTGCAATAAATGATTGGGGATTTGAGCTTACAACTATCAAAAATTATGTTATGTTTTTTGTTTCTATCCCCCACTTGAATACCTACCTCGGTTGACAATAACCTCATCATATGTACCATTACTCTTCCAGCTCTGAGCAACACTGCTATCTCTTGGAACATCATCATATAAATGTTCCTCTGACCCAGACAGTGCACTGCCGATTCTGTCCCCTGCTTGCCATAAAATAGGAGACGTTTGTCCTTCTACAGAAACATCAGCTTCTGCTTGAGAGTAAAGGTAGTCATAAAAAGATTCCACTTTTTTAGCTCTTCCTTCTGTTGACACGTCTATGAATGATAGTACTCTGCGGTTTGTGTCCATCACACTAGTTTCTACAGTCAAGCTGGGAAGCTCATCTTGGTTTGGACTTGATGTTAGCACTGGCTTGCAAACAATTTCCTCTAGTTTTTGTTCACCTGAGTCATCATGGGTGACAGAAAGCACATCACCTCCATGTGATGAAGTATTCTGCTGAGCCTTTGGTTCAGCAGAGTTTGGTACTTGTGGTAAACGCCTTCTTGGGGGCTTGATGGGGTCACCTTCAGAGCTGTGACCTGGTGAAGTTTTCTGTTCAAAATCACCACTAGCTGTCTTTTGATATTGACACCTTGAAAGTGCCTGAGAATGAGTATCATTTTCCGTTTTTGTACTATCTGTGCATTCCTTGCAATCTTTATTCTCATTTAATTCACCTTTCATTAGTGTCCACTGTTCCTTATCATTTTCCTTACGATTTTTCAGTCTGTCATTTGGTGAACCTTGATCATCAAACTTATTCCTCTTAGGTTTAGGTTTAAGTTTAGGCTTACTAGAGCCATTTTTATTCACTGCATCTTTTTCTCCATCACCTGCCTCCGAAATTTCTGCTTCATTTTGTCCCCTCAAATCTTTGTGTTGGATTTGCATACCATCGTTGCCGTTAAAAGGTGAAGCATCACCCCTGTTTTGTATATTTTCTGCTGGAGTAACATTTTCATTGCTTAAATCTCCTGAAGACACCACATCATCATAAAAAATTGAATTCCTGACACTCCTGACATCACCTTCGGCATTAGTGGCCATATTCAAAAGGTAAAGTCTATGTGTAATCCATCGTCACTGCATCTACAAAACCTTTTAAAATAAATCAGTAAACATGAATCACCATCTCAGAATCTGAAAGAATCAATGGATCTTTTTGAAGATTGCAGTGCCTCTCGGTATGGATTCCATTCATTTTAGCCTTTTAACTCTTTACGGTGGCCAATTTACAATTTCAACTTAGTTGATATAACCAAATGGATTCCATCGGTCTAACTTCCTGTTGCGAGAATGTTAATATTAATATTCACGAAAACGTCAACTTTGTTTTCAACCTGATTTCTCGGTGATATTGGCCATGGTGATTTTTAATTCAACTAAAAGTAGATGAGATCACAGAGATGGTAAATACACCGTAACAGAAGTTTCTGTCACGTTTCTCGTGCGACGAAGGAATGTTACAGGAAACCTTTCAAGAAGCGATCAGTAGGGTTATCCAAGCGATTGTTCTAACTTATTGTGAATCATGCAAAGTAACTAAATGACCTACAACTACATTTTCTGCTCCAGACGTAGTTTCCTAAATTCAAACTAGTTAAAAAAACCCAAATATTTGTTTAGTTTCTTCCTGAAACAAAAACCAAATCAAAGAGTGGCTTAGAAAGCCCGCCATTTTGAGGCAAAGACGGCAGATCCAATCCCGAGTAAATGTGACAATACGACGCAAGTATTTCTAGTCACTTTTAAAATTCACCAAGGATGCATATTTTGTACCTTCACAACAAGATCTTGATTAAATTCAGCCCAAAACGAATGCGGTTCTGTTCTATGTGGGCCCCTTCTCAGGGAAACTCGAGCTCTTCTTGAACGAGCGTTGCAAGAGACTGGGACTAGACCCAAAAGTTAATCATCACTAATCTCACTGGGTGGAGATGGGTGATAGCGCGCGAGAAGGGTCCTGGTATGGTGGCCGACTACTGCCATTAAAAATATTCAAATTTATAGGAATCATTAATTTTGTCATTTTTATTTTTAAAATAAAAACAAGTGAAAGTAAAAGGTAAAATAGAAATAAAATGAAACCAAAGATAAATGAAATCAAATCAAAATTTAGGCCTCACGGAAAGGTACCCCACCATGGAAACCGTAACCCCATGAAAATCTCAAACATGCGCGGATTACATTACTTTGCAACACTACTTGAGAAAAAGAACGCGGGCTCGTGCCGTGAGTTGTTTACATGAAAGTTATAGATTTTTGTTAATTAAATCACCGGCCGACTCGCCGACGATGAGATCTGATGGCACGTAAAAAAGCTCACGGCAGCCAAATTTTCTTGCAAAAATCAGCCACCAGTCAAAAAGAAGCCGAGATAATATGCGAATTATTCCGAAGAAATAGAAAAAAGCAGCGTTGCAGTGCAAGTATGCAGCTTTTTAAGTGAAGAAAAACTCGATCGACTCGAGAGAGAGTGTAAGGGATTGAGATTTGAAAACGCCAATCTAAAAGGAACAGTCAAAACCCTAAGACGCAGTTTAGGCAAGTGTTTTTCGGGAGGGAATGGAAATGCAAACACTTGTAAATGTCTACGAATACTTGAGCAATAGTGAAAATCAGACCTGAAAAAAATTTCAGGCCTGTACGGGATTCGAACCACTGACCTCTGCGATACTAGTGCAGCGCTCTACCAGCTTTGTTGTTCTACGAATACTACTGCAGATTGTATGAGCCACAAATTACGGTGATTGATTTTCATTCCCATTCTGACATTTCGCCGGTTGCAACTTGCGCGATCGTAGTTGATACCACTTTTAAATAGTATTAATCATAAACGGATAACAATCTCATCAAACAGAAGCCGAAAAATAAAAAAAAATACCCTCGAATGTTCAGGTAGATCAGTCGATATGGCCGCATAGTCAGTAATAAATGTACAGGCAAGTTAATTTTTCGGGCAGCAAATCATGACGACGCGTATCTTTAAGTGTCCTACAGTATCGAGAGTTTTATGAGTGAAGTTTTAAGGCTTAATTTGGAAGTTCTAACAAAGATGAACAAAATTATCTGAACACGGACCGCCGTGGAAACGTAATAGTTATATTTTCTAGTCGGGCATTTTTACTTTGTATTCTTTGTTTCCATACTCTATCATGTGAAATCCGTGAGTTACATTTGACTAATTTAAAATGTCACCGTTCCATAATTTCAGTATTTGTAAAAAGAAAGAACATCCAATTGAAAAAGGACGCGTTGAGGCTCTAAATACAACTGAAAAAGTGTCAAAACAAACTTACGTCTACTGAAAAAAAAGAAAAACAAGTCGGCAACAAGCTAAGGGGGACAAGATCTGCTTCCTCTAAACTGAAAAAGAAATTGCAGGGGAACAATGAGTTTGTCAAAAAGGGATATTCCCTTGTGGAGACATTTGCACACGGTAACAATGGATACAACCAAAGAACTTTGATGTTTATGGCTTGTGTGAGATACATGCAACATGCATCTTACAATAGAATAGTTTTGTG